TTTTTACCTTATTATAACTTCAAAAAACCCACGAACTTTTTAGAGAATGTTTGTACAATCAAAAAATCTTTTACTTTTATGAAGACCACGACATTTATTTGGTTTAAGTACCCTATAATTGAAAGAAGATTTATAGATATGCACAGTTGAGCTTGATAAAATCATAAAATGCATCACTGATTAACATCTTTATCTTTCTATAACATTAAATCAATTTTAAAAGCCATAGACATCGTTCATTTATTTATGCACGTTTGTATGCATAAGCAAACTGGAAAAAGAGCACCAAAGACCCAGATTTTGACATCATTTCCTGGTTGAACAAGATGAAGCAGAGTAATAAATGGGTAGGCTTTACCTGATTGGCTGAATTGAGGTATGTAAATATTTTCATTTTAAAGTAAAAATATTAATGTTTGAAATAAATGATGGAATGTGGGAATATTACAAAAATTCTAGAAATACCAGGGGAGATTGTAGGAGTGGGGATTGATATTTTTGGCAGGGTGTCATTTACTGCCGATCTCTGTAAGTTCTAAATAACTGCAAATTTGACCTATAAACGCCGCGGAACGGTATTTTTTTTTCCGTGTTTTTAATAAGTGCTTAGAACGAACTTTCAAATAATACCAGTGATTTGTTTGAACGGGAATTAGTAAATTACTTAGAGGGCAAAAGGTTTGTATAGAGTTCTATGGGAAATTAATTGGTACTCTTTTCCCTATAGAGACCCCATTTTTTAATAAGTAAAGTGAAGTGAAAGTCATGAAAAGTTATTTTTAGCAATTTATTTGAATATTGAAGACATTTCGAGAGAAAAATTAGCAAAAATTTGAATTATTTATCTGTGGAATTAGGGTTAGAGGTGATTTTGGGTCTTTTGTAGAGATTGGGGGGGGGATGGGGGGGGGGGGTACAGAGGATGGAAATTGGTAAAACAATGTGTAGTTGACTTGGCCATAGGAGAAAGGTAAGTTAAGAAAATGTATCAGATTGATCTTATAATAAATGTTTGTATGTACTCATAAATTTATGTATGTATTTTACATGTACATGTAATTGTGTATTTATATGATTTGCTATATATGTGTACTTTTGGAAGTGTAGGATGGTGGCCTGGTGTTAATTTTTGTTTAGTTTCTTATACGTCTGCACGTTTGGTATCTTTTCGAATAATTTATTCGGCCCTTAAAAGTGCGTTTCGTGGTGTTCATGTGAAAGGAGGTCATTTTCTGTCTTGACGTATCATGTCGGTAGTGTATGTGATCCTCTGGATTGCCTCCCTTTGACTGCGGGGGGATCAGTTTGTAGTTTGGTTGTTTCTATATTGTAGCTACACGAAGGTATGTGTTTTCCCTCTTTTTGCTCTTTGTAGTTCCATCAGGGTGACTCTCTGCAACCCATTTTCTACTGCTTTCCAGTTTTTGTACTTAGAGTTACTTCCCTTAGACTAGCTAACCAAATATGTAGAATTTCAACATGATATAATCTTAATTATTGTGACCTTAGGCTTCTGATTTTGTTTTCTTGAATTATTGGAATGGCATTACTGCATGTATCACATTTGACTTTTCTAATATTTACATGTAATTACATGTAAAATTGTAAAACATGTATTCCACCCTTGACGGATCCATTTTTTAAACATTCGGCCATGTAGAAGATATGTAATTTGGTAATTTTTCAGAAAACTTGAAAAATATTGCTGTTTTCTTTATGATTTATGCTTAATTTGACTAACTTTATTGATTTATTTTCATTTAAAGACTATAGAGAACTTTCATATTTCAGCTTCCTGGACCCGGGAGAGCTTGGTATCTGATCGGCGGGGGGCATTTTCTCTATATAAGAAGAAGATGGAGACTCGCTACCCACCCGATATATTTTGTCGGACAGATTTCTGTACATTGCAGGTAAATTTTTCATTTATTAACTTTTCAGCCTCTTATTGTGGTGTAAATTTTGGGGTTGTAAGTCAATTATTGCATTCCTTAATTTTTTACAAATTAATCTGAATTCCCCTTTTTAAAGCATGAAATTCAATAATGTAGATTATGGTTGTACTGTATAAGACTATCAGACACTGCACTTTGATTTGTTATCAAAAGTATTAATTTTCTCTTGTCTGAATTAATTGTAAACAAATATAATAGGGGGCACCTGCTATTTCTCTAAGTGTCTTTCACTGGGGGGTGGGGAAACTTTTTTGTATATACTTATGCAACAGGAGGGGTTAGATAAGAATCATTTAGTATATCAGAGTCTCAAACAATTTACTTTTCATAAGCATAAGAAAATTTCTATATCAGTCTTTTTAAAACCTTTTAATTTTGCTTAATTAATTATGATTTATCAAATTTTGGACCTTTTTTCTTTATTCTGGGTAGATTCCACCCCTATGAAAAAATTGACACAATTATGACTTTATATCATTTTATTAACATCAAAAAACAAAATCATGTTATTTTATAAATATTTTATTCATTACAGTGACAACTGTATCCAGATTTCATCACAGGAATGAAAATTTTTCACTCTTTGGAAAAGCACCTGCAGCAGGGAGGGGACATTCATTAAGATGGCCACAGATTCCAAGACACTGAAGTGACAGGCCTCAAATTTCATACATGTATATTGGTAAGTATAAGGTCTTTGAAAATTACAAAATTGACTAATTCTGGGATAGGTAAATATGTAAGTATAGGAAAAAGAGCACCAAAGACCCAGATTTTGACATCATTTCCTGGTTGAACAAGATGAAGCAGAGTAATAAATGGGTAGGCTTTACCTGATTGGCTGAATTGAGGTATGTAAATATTTTCATTTTAAAGTAAAAATATTAATGTTTGAAATAAATGATGGAATGTGGGAATATTACAAAAATTCTAGAAATACCAGGGGAGATTGTAGGAGTGGGGATTGATATTTTTGGCAGGGTGTCATTTACTGCCGATCTCTGTAAGTTCTAAATAACTGCAAATTTGACCTATAAACGCCGCGGAACGGTATTTTTTTTTCCGTGTTTTTAATAAGTGCTTAGAACGAACTTTCAAATAATACCAGTGATTTGTTTGAACGGGAATTAGTAAATTACTTAGAGGGCAAAAGGTTTGTATAGAGTTCTATGGGAAATTAATTGGTACTCTTTTCCCAACTGACCCACCTCCATGCTGAAATGGATACTTTTTGCGCCTTTATCGCAGGAGAGTTACAATCTCGAAACTGGCATATTCCTCAGACACAGATGTGTAAAAAGACAGATAACTCTTGTTAAGTTCAAAGATGACACAAATAAAATAGGGGTGAAAATTTTTCTATAGTAGATCTATACTAGTCTTTTTGTACCTGTATGTATATTAAATACTTGAGAATTTCTATGTTTTCTATGAAGGTCCCCCTCTGCTGGTAAGCTGTTGAACTACATGATAGATGACGGAGGCCATGTGTTTGCTGGGGATGTGTACACTGAGATAGAAGTCATGAAGATGGTCATGGAACTCAGGGTCACAGAAAATGGATGGTAAAGGATTGAGATTAGGAATTTAATGGGAATTGGATTATTGATTGAGTCTAAGTGATGAATGACATGAAAAAAAAGAGATTGGAAATCTGTAATGGAAAATTTTAAAAATTGAATATGATAATTTAAATTATGATTAAATAATTTTAATGTCACATGAGAAAAATGATGCTTGAAGTTAAGCATATCTGTTCCAATTATTTATCTCTATGGCTTTGTTACTTTTTGAATTGTTTACCTCCGCAACATTTTGAATAATAAAATCTTGCTTTTCTTGAAAGATAAAGTAAATAAGTTTTCACACAACTTTCTCCTTGTTACAGTGTTCATTACGTTAAGAGGCCGGGAGCAGTGTTGGAGGGGGGCAGTATCGTGGCCCACCTTGACCTGGATGACCCCAGTCGTGTCCAGCAGGCCCAGAGCTTCAAAGGGACACTCCCCCAGCCACAGGCCCCGCCCACTCATGGGGAAAAGCTCCACCAGATCTTCCAGAGTACGCGGGCTGAGCTAGAGAACATCCTGGCGGGGTACACGCTGCCTGATCCTTACTTCAAACCTAAACTACAGACCTCCATAGAGAGACTGATGAAGTGTCTAAGAGATCCGTCACTGCCCCTACTGGAACTCCAGGTAAAAATAGGGAAATTCAATTTAAGAAGAAAGGACTGGCAGTACATTTATTTTAATTTCAGATTTATTTAAAAAAATTATGTCATTTTTAATGTCATTATAATGATAGCAGTTAGGTATGATTTTCATATTGGGACTGTTATGTGAATTTACATCTCTGGCTTTCTTTTGTCCTTATACATCATCAAAAATAAGGATTTTTCTGGTAAATCTCCCATCATAATAAATTCTGATTTTCAAGTAATTGATGATGGCTTGTTTATAGCTGCAGATCTGTAGCTATCCGAAAAAATATATATTGATAGACCGGATAGCTACAGTGCCACACATTGAAAAAACTGTATATCTATTGCGCACAAAAAAGTGCGCTCGGTTCTTGATTTATTTCTCCTTGTTCCTAAACTGTTATCTCAAAATATTACTAACCGTGTGTTCTTTACATATTTTTTGACTCTTTCCACTGCAAAACATTCGTCATAATTGTTGTTAATAGTCCTCCTGACCCTGATATTGTAATCATCGAAGTTTTCGATTATATATACTGCCATTTTGGTTTCAAAGATAATTCGGTCCAATATGCTTCATTCAGACGTCAACTATGAATGTACTTGATAGAGGAGAGAGAAACCTTTTTAAAATCTTCCCTCTTTTGCTATTGAGGTAAGAATTTGGAAGAAATAATCAAGAACTGAGCGCACTTTTTTGTGCGCAATAAATATACAGTTTTTTCAATGGGTGGCACTGTAGCTATCCGGTCTATCAATATATATTTTTTCGGATAGCTACAGATCTGCAGCTAGCTTGTTTATAGACATCGTCGGAAACCCACGGGTGATCTCGTCTTTACTTATCACCCGTGGGCAAACTCACTGAAATATCGCCGTAAAATATGCTAATTTGTTGTTTTAAGCTCACCTGAGCCAAAGGCTCAAGTGAGCTTTTCTGATCAAAATTTGTCCGTTTTCTGTCGTCGTTGTAGTCGTTGTCGTTGTTGTCGTCGTAAACTTTTCATATTTCGACTTCTTCTCAAGAACCGCTGGGCCAATTTCAATCAAACTTGGCACAAAGTATCCTTGGGTGAAGGGGATTCAAGTTTATTCAAATAAAGGGCTACGCCCTTTTCCAAGGGGAGATAATTATGAATGAGATTGTATACTGTTTTACGTAATAGTATTTACGTTATGAATGAGAGAAAAATTAATGGCATTTTTAAAAACTCTTCTTCTTAAGAACCACTGGGCCAGGAAAGATGGAACTCAAGTGGAATCATCCGCAGGTAGTGTAGATTTAAGTTTGTTCAAATCATGACCCCTGGGGCTAGGGTGTGGCCAAAAAGGCCGACCAAAGTTTTACATACGAATATATAGGAAAAATCTTTGAAAATCTTCTTGTCCAGAACCACTGGGCCAGGAAAGATGAAACTCATGTGGAATCATCTTCAGGTAGTGTAGATTCAAGTTTGTTCAAATCATGACCCCCGGGGCTAGGGTGGAGCCAAAATGGCTGTCCGAAGTTTTACATAGGAATATATAGGAAAAATCTTTAAAAATCTTCTTCTCAAGAACCACTGGGCCAGGAAAGGTGAAACTCATGTGGAATCATCCTCAGGTAGTGTAGATTCGAGTTTGTTCAAATCATAACCCCCGGGGCTAGGGTGGGGCCAAAAAGGCCGACCGAAGTTTAACATAGGAATACATAGGAAAAATCTTTAAAAATCTTCTTCTCCAGAACCACTAGGCCAGGAAAGATGAAACTCATGTGGAATCATCCTCAGGTAGTGTAAATTCAAACTTGTTCAAATCATGATCCCCGGGGCTAAGGTGGGGCCAAAATGGGTGACCAAAGTTTAACATAGGAATATATATATAGGAAAAATCTTTAAAAATCTTCTTCTCCAGAACCACTGGGCCAGGAAAGATGAAACTCATGTGGAATCATCTTCAGGTAGTGTAGATTCGAGTTTGTTCAAATCATAACCCCCGGGGCTAGGGTGGGGCCAAAATGGCCAACCGAAGTTTAACATAGGAATATATAGGAAAAATCTTTAAAAACCTTCTTCTCCAGAACCACTAGGCCAGGAAAGATGAAACTCATGTGGAATCATCCTCAGTTAGTGTAGATTCAAATTTGTTCAAATCATGACCCCGGGTGCTGGGGTGGGGCCAAAATGGCCGACCGAATTTTAACATAGGAATATATAGGAAAAATCTTTAAAAAATCTTATTCTCCAGAACCACTGGGCCAGGAAAGATGAAACTCATGTGGAATCATCCTCAGGTAGTGTAGATTCAAGTTTGTTCAAATCATGACCCCTGGGGATAGGGTGGGGCCAAAATTGCTGACCCAAGTTTAACATAGGAATATATAGGGAAACCTTTAAAAATTTTCTTTTCAAGTACTTCAAAGCTATGATTAGTGATATTTATATGGAATCATCCTCAGGTAGTGTAGATTCTAGTTTGTTCAAATGATGAATGCCTGGGGGGGGGGTTTAAATTCAAGCCCGATGTGCTCAGGTGAGCGCTGTGGCCCCCGGGCCTCTTGTTTAGTCAACCAATCAGAAAGTTGGAACTCTTCAATTTTGAAAAATACCTTTATTACTTTGCTATTTAGGCCATAATAAATAAATTGCTAGATTCTCATCCGAATTTTTTTAAAAATCGAGGCGGGCGGGCGGCTTTTATTTTATATTTTTCATTTTTTCAATTTTGCAGATTTCTTATTGACCTGGTCAATTGGTGTAATTTCATCTACAATACCCGAATAAAAGTCATAGTAAAGGTTCAATTATCTCTTACTTCACATCATCACCAATCTTTTTCAACCCATGACCTTTGTTTAAAATATATACACATGTATTAGAGCAATTACTATCTTTTCAGCTGTCAAAATCATGTCGACTTTTGCGGGATTTAAAAGGCTAATTGTATTCGGCGCGTCGGCGCGCTCGCGCAACAGATTTTGTTTAATAAATTTATCGCTTACACGGCATCGGGCTCGATATCCTTTACTAATCCAAGAACTGAAAGTTCTGATAGGTATTGATTTTAATGACGGTTTCAATAAAATTTAATGTTTCACACTTTGTTCACAACTTTTTCAAGTTATGTTCATTTATGCTTTATGAGGAAGTTTGTCAGAATTCAATAAAAATAAGAAAATGACACAATTATACAGAGTCAAAAAGGTATGTTTTGATCTAACCATAACCTTAGAATGATATGCCAAAAAGTGTAAGACGTTTTCTGTGTTCAATTTTTTCCATAAATTAATATAGTATTTTTCTTACCAAAAGTTTGTTTAAAAGGGTTATTGATAGCAAAGTCATATCTGTAACCAAAGTTTCTTCCCATCCTCAGACCTCTAATAAAGACAAGAGAGAAATTAATTCTTGGTAGTACTATGTAGTGTTAAAACGGAACGAAGGATATTTTTTTAAACACTGCTACCAATGTATGGCAGCTTATAGCCACAAAAATCAAGTCTTTAAAAAGGAGTTTAACTCTAGAGTCTAGGTTCATAAGGTTATGCTGGTAAATTTTAATTTCGAATTTGATACATTGGCGTCGGAAGCAAATTGAAAAGGGGGGGGATTAAGTGAAAGAAAAAAATTCGAATCTGAAAAATCTTAACAAGCAAAAAAATAAAATGTATCTATTGTCCAAACACGAAAATCCTATTTCGGGGGTAAGAGGGGGGGGGGGGGCGGATCGAACTTCTTTCGATACCATTTTTTGTTCTGTCAAATAATACACTAGTCTTACTATAATACTTACCCTTCTTAGACTACACTGCAACGTGCCTGTTAAAGGTGGGGGCTAAACCTATGCCCAAATTTTTAATATGAGGTTTATCTGTGTAAGTCCCCTCCTGCGGTTCCCAGGGATGTGTGTAAAACAAAAAATAAATTTATTAAACCCAAAGCACTCAATATTTTTAAATGCTTTAGTTAAATTTTTGAGATATTATATATATACGCGAGAGAGAGAAAGAAAGAGAGAGAGAGATAGAGAGAGTGAGAGAGAAGCTAATTCCAAAATTTCGCTTTTGCACGAATTGTGGTAAGGCATGCATGGATCCGGATCCCTGGAAAATTCAAATCTATTCAAACTGACATAGTAAAATTACTAAATGATAATCTATGCCTTGGACCTCTTCCCTTGCGATTGAACCAACACCTCCTAGGGAAATTTTCTGGATCCACCTAACAAAGGAATGTAATCGGGCTCGGACTGTCTTTTGAATATAAGCGATAACGCTTAAATTATAAAGAAATTCGCAGTCATTTGAGTGTTTTAATGCAGGGAGAAAATGCTTTTGTGATATTGGGATGAGATGGACGCGCGGGCGCGCCGACGCGCCGAATACAATTAGCCGATTTAAAACGAAAGTAGAATGGTAGATGAATATCGATCCCCATCAGAATTAAGACGAAGAAAAACAGAAATAAAAAAAATCGAGGCGGGGGTATAAAATCGGGGCGGGCGGGGATGAGAATATAGGAATATTTTTATTATGGCCTTATGGTAAATATTTTGACGCTCGTTAAAACGTGCGAAGTTTGATTCAAAACAATGAAAATCAATTCATACAGGTCACTGACATTAATATCCGTCAGATACTATGTAGGAGTACCTCTTTCTAACTGCAAAATGCACCTGTCAGTGGATTTATCAGCTGTGTTAACTACGGAATGAGTTTAACATGTTTTTAACAATGCCGAACTTGCATACGTAACGTGAACTGAGATTCGTTGTTACGCATTGCGACTCTGTAATGCGGCCATCAAATGACCCATGCATATTTAATAACATACGAAGATTTTTCAGGGAGTTTGCCCACGGGTGATAAGTAAACACGAGATCACCCGTGGGTTTCCGACGATGGTTTATAGACTGTAAATATTTTCAAACACTAAATTTGTTGTAGTTAGAGATTGAATGTGTTTCTCAGCTTAAAACCTTTGGCAATTGTGAGTGAAAACATTAATTTTATTTTTTAGGATCTTGTTGCCATGATTTCTGGGAGAATTCCCCCACAGGTGGAGAAAGCCATCAAAAAACAGCTTCAGTCATACTCCAGTAATATCACCTCTGTACTCAGTCAGTTCCCCAGTCAACAGGTAAAAATCAGTAACAGCTTCAGTCATACTCCAGTAATATCACCTCTGTACTCAGTCAGTTCCCCAGTCAACAGGTAAAAATCAGTAACAGCTTCAGTCATACTCCAGTAATATCACCTCTGTACTCAGTCAGTTCCCCAGTCAACAGGTAAAAATCAGTAACAGCTTCAGTCATACTCCAGTAATATCACCTCTGTACTCAGTCAGTTCCCCAGTCAACAGGTAAAAATCAGTAACAGCTTCAGTCATACTCCAGTAATATCACCTCTGTACTCAGTCAGTTCCCCAGTCAACAGGTAAAAAATCAGAGACAGCTTCAGTCATACTCCAGTAATATCACCTCTTTACTCAGTCAGTTCCCCAGTCAACAGGTAAAAATCAGTGACCAATTCTATTTTTGTTGTTGAAATGCTGCCATGTGGATATTTAAAATGCACGTGCAGCTGTACATGTATACTGTAAATCACTAAATTTTCGCGACACCTTATTTTCGCGAGATAGTCATTGACTCTTGATTAGCGAGACCAAATTTTCGCGAATTGTGGTTATTGCTCTATATAATGTAACAGGGGTCAATTGTGTATCCTGACGGATTCTTTAATAAGCACATGACACCTGCGGGTTCGTTTGATGATTTTATTGTTGGTATTATCAAGAGATAATATACTGTTTATAATACCCTGTAAATATACATATAAATAATATTAGTACAGTTTTATATAATCAAAATGACAATTCTATAAACATACAGTAATCATAAAATCACAATACATTAATTCTTACAATGCATACTTTGAAAGAGTTATTCCCCTTTTCACAGCATTTTATAAAAACCTACATTTATACTTGTACAATTCATATATATTCCTTTGAAACATATATTGAAATGTTTAACATTCATTATTACAATCATTAAGTGAATTCTAAGTCCACTTCTTAATTAGGAATATATAAAAATGATAAGTGCATTTGTAAAAATATGAAATGTACCTGTTTATGGAACAGAGTGCCTGGTACCTTTGATTTACATTACTCCAGGAACTGTATCATTGTTTAAACTGTAATAAAATAATTTCATTCACTCTCCACTCTTACACACTCAATATTTCCTTAATTTATTAATTTCAGATAAATTCATACACTTTGAAATATATTTCATTAATAAGAAGTAAATTAGTTACTTACATATTAGTAGCTGGAAACCAGGTCACATTTAAATTAAGTTAACTGTTTGTAAGATATTTAGAAATCTAAGTCTTTCCAGTCTGGAATCAATAAGTTGAATGTCTTTGTCTGTTGTCCAGAATTTGGAGGTAAAAGTCTTGACCAATAGGATTTAAGGAAATTGAATTCTACTCAGGTAGCTTCTTACAGGTGTAGAAATAGAAAAGGAGTGGATCTAAAGTTTTAACTGATTGTTTATTTTATTTCATTTAGTTTGTTTTATTTAATTTTTTTAAAAAGTATTTTATTTGCTAAATTATTTAAATGAAAGGTTTCAATATTTGAGTTTAAATTATTTGTTTTGGTCAATATTAATTGACACACAGATTTAATAATACATTCACTTCAGAGTTTAAAATCAGTTGTGGCATATTCATAATGTATAAGTAATAAATTATACATTTGAATATTATAATAATTAAAACAACATAAAACTAATCACTATCACATATTTCCCCCCGTTAGCAAATGACGTCCTCGTCATTCACTAAGGAACTATGGAAAAAATACAAATACAAACATCAAGTTGAATAAGATTTACTTACTCAACAGAAAATTTAGATTAAATTTAAAAAAAAAATATTTATTCTCAGCAATTTATAGAAAATATATTGCTTCAATGGGCAATTATAATGCTGAAAATAATTCTTGGCATAAAATATTGCTAAAACCAGAATTAATATCTGGTATTTTGTCATAACACAATTAAAATAATTATTCAGCTGATTCAGATACAATTTTAATCAGAGCATCTGAGATAACTCTTCTGTCCACATCTTTAAACACTGTTGTGGTCATTAAAGATTGTAAATACTCTGCCCTGGATTTCCAGTCTGGTATTTTAACTTGTGAAAAGACATATTCATTGCTCTTCATCCACGGAGGTTTTGATTTAACTCTAGCAGACCTTCTCGGAACAAAGGAACATTGTTCATTTTCTGACCTTTCTGGAGATTCAGTAGTTATCTCCCTTTCTGAAAGTGTACCATTAGATTCAACTGAATCATGTGACCTTTCAGGTATCGTTTCATCAAACATATTTGTTTGGTGTAAACCTGTAGATATATTTAATTCACTTTCAGAATGAATATTTGAATTTACATCTGGCTGTACATTTTCAGCACTGTGTAAATTATCATTTGGATCCATTGAAACATTCTCTGTCAACTCAGTAGCTGCAGATTCATTGATTGTTTCATCAACTTCTACTGGTTCGTTATCTTTAGTATTTGCAATATGCAAAATAAATGATTCATTTTCTGAATCACTAGTTGATTCAATACTATGAGTATCAACTTTATTAGAACTAGCTTTGTTCTGAGAAGAGTCTGAATTTGTACTTTTCCTTGTTTTAGGAACTGGTTTTCTTTTTCTAGGGACTGGTTTAGGTTTTTGTACCTCATTATTGTCACAAGATGAACAGATGGGAAGTAATAAGTTTCTATGTAAAACTCTTGTCTTTCCTTCCCCATTCTGTTTTTGAACTTTGTATACAGGGATATCTTTATTTGGTTGATTGATAATAATATAGGGATCATTTTCCCATTTGTCAGCCAACTTATGGCGACCATCAAAAGCAACAATCTTAACCAAAACAAGATCACCTGGTTCAAGTACACTACTTTTGATTTTCACATCATAATGTTTCTTTTGTTTCTCATGAGACATCTGTATGTTCTTTGAAGCAAGTTCATAAGAATATTTCAACCTATTTTTTAAAGATTCAACATACTTGGACATGGATTTCTTTTCACTGGAAATATGATTATCAAACAAGATATCTATGGGTAGATTTGGTTCTCGACCAAACATCAAATAAAATGGAGAATATGATGTTGTATCTTGTTTAGTACAATTGTAAGCATGTACAATTGGTTTAATAAAAGACTTCCAATCTTGTTTTTCATTTGGATTTAATGTACCTAGCATAGATATTAAAGTACGATTAAATCTTTCACACTGACCATTACCCATAGGGTGATATGGCGTGGTTCTAGATTTATTGATACCAAGTATGGAACATAATTCTTTTATGATCTTACTTTCAAAATTTGCACCTTGATCTGAATGGATCTTGTGTGGTATGCCATAATTTAATATAAAGTTTTGATAAAAAGCTTCAGCTGTTGTTTTAGCTGTCATATTCTTTGTAGGGATTGCCATAGCATATCTTGAAAAATGATCAGTAATAACTAAAACATACTCAAAACCACCTTTAGACCGTTCAAGGGTCAAAAAATCAAGACAAACTAGTTCTAATGGTTGAATAGTCATGATGTTTACTAAAGGAGCTTTCATATTTGTTGGAGTTTTTCTCCTTATACATCTACCACAATGTTGGATATGGTTTTCTATGTCACGGGTCATACCATACCAATAAAATCGATCTTTTGCAAGTGAAAGGGTTCTATCTCTACCTTGATGACCCATCTTATCATGAAGATGAAACAAAACTAGACTGACAAGTGACAAAGGAATAACAAGTTGGTGTACAATACCTGTTTCTGTTTTTACATCTCTGTACAACTTATCGTCAATGATCCTAAGTTTGTCAAAGCATTGAAATAATGCATTACTATAAGGAGTAGGTGGTATTTCATCTTTATGTGGTTTGTATTTGTTAAATACTTGATCAAACCAATATGATATATCAGGGTCATTAATTTGTTCCTGAACAATGTCGACACTTTGCAAGCTTCCATCATGTGGAGCATTTATGTTCATATTGATAACGTCTTCTGACGCTGGAAGAGTTTCAATAAAAGGAACAACATTTGTCACATTGCATATAGCACTAACAGAATCTGATGTAACAGTAACACAGTTCTGTTTTTGTAATATACCAGGTAGACGAGACAGTGCGTCTGCATCTGCATTTGTATTGCCTGGTCTATACTTCAAGTCAAAATCATAGGCAGACAAGGCTGCAAGCCATCTATGGCCAGTTGCATCTAGTTGTGCAGTTGTAAGGACATAAGTTAAAGGATTATTATCTGTAAAAACAGTAAAACTATGTCAATATAAATAATCTTTAAATTTTTCTGTGACGAACCATTTTAGCGCAAGAAATTCTAATTTGTGCGCTGGGTAATTTCGTTCAGCTTTGCTAAGACTTCTGCTTGCATAAGCTATGACATGTTTTAGTCCATCATCTTTTTGCTGATAAAGAACTGCACCCAACCCATGCAAAGATGCATCAGTATGCAACTCAAATGGTTTTGAATAATCAGGGTAAGCCAATATGGGATATGAAGACAATTGATTCTTTAGAAAATTAAAAGCATATTCCTGTTCTTCTTCCCATTTAAATTCTTGTAATTGTTTATTGGACATAATTTTCTTTTTACCACGATTTTTCTTTGTGGGAGTAGGCATGAGATTTAGTAAAGGTCTTGCAATTTTTGAAAAATTTTTAATAAATTTTCTGTAGTAGCCTACAAATCCCAAAAATTGACGGACTTCTTCGCGAGTTTTGGGACGAGGCCATTCTTGAACCTTTTTGATTTTCTCTTCATCAGGCTCAATGCCTTTCTCTGACACAACATGTCCAACATATCGGACGCGAGTCTTAAGTAAGGAACATTTCTTTGGTGACAGTTTTATTCCTGCCTCGCGTAGTTTTTGAAAAACTAGACTTAAACGTTCTAAGTGTTCTTCATAGGTATTGGAAAATATAATAATGTCATCTAAATAGATGAAACAAATTTTTAAATGTAAATCCCCTAAACATTGTTCCATTAGCCTTTGATAAGTGGCAGGGGCATTAGCTAACCCAAAGGCCATTCTATTGTACTCGTAAAACCCAAGAGGGCCAACTGTAAATGCAGTGCGCTCTTTATGTTTTTCTTCAATTTCAATTTGATGGTACCCAGATTTCATATCTAGTATTGAAAAATATTTATTTCCAGATAGAGAATCTAAAATTTCATCAATTCTGGGTAAGGAGTAACTGTCTTTAATTGTTCTTTGATTTAGTTCTCTAAAATCAATGCAAAGACGTAATTCTCCTGTTTTTTTTTTTACGAGAACAACATTTGACGCAAAAGGAGAATGTGATTGGCGAATAATGCCAGCACTCAACAATTGTTGCAGGTGATTC